TTTGTATGCAGTCAGATATTATAATTATACCATACCAAAACAGATCTCTGCCTAGACACAATAAAGTTAGTATGTACTAAGTAGACCTGTAGGTATATGGATTGAGAGTTATCTCCACTGGCTATATATATATATATATATATACACACACACACACACCTCTACCCCAATATAACGCGACCCGATATAACACGAATTCGGATATAACACGGTAAAGCAGTGCTCCGGGGGGTGGGGCTGCGCACTCCGGTGGATCAAAGCAAGTTCGATATAACGCGGTTTCACCTATAACGCGGTAAGATTTTTTTGGCTCCCAAGGACAGCGTTATATCGAGGTAGAGATGTATCTATCAATATTTTCATGTACTTTATGGTTCACACATTTGTTATTTCAGTATCAATTATTTACTTGATTACACTAATAGCCATTCCAAAAAATCAGACTTCTTTGTGACAAAGTACTAAAAGATTAAACTTGCTTATTGATCTCTGGTGATATAGGGCAAGGACTGAGGCAGGTTTTCATTCTTAGTTGTCCAAACTTTCTTTTTAATTTATTTCAATGGCTGCCACTGGAGAATAGAACACCTTGCTTTTAAAAGCTAAAACAGATTTTAAGAGTCAGTCCCTTTAACAGAAGCAACAATTTTCAGCTGTCAGGCACTGACCACCATTATTGGAATAATTTTTGTTCACAGCAACAAATCTTAATTGATGTACGGGGGGGGGGGGGGGAGGACACATTTCAGCATGATGTAATCTCTCAAATAGGACTAGTTTCTATGCATCACAGGTGTCATTTAAAATTATAACAGAAGCCACAACTTCACTTATATTTTTATGCAATAGCCTCAGCTCTGGAAGTAAACTAAGCAAGTCTATTCCACTCCGGATAAACAAAAATCACGTCTGAGAGGATAATACTGATTGAAAAACTGGGCAATTTATTGTGAAACATTCCACTATATGGATATTTCAGTCAGAGGTATTAATATAGAATACTAAAAGTAGTTCCAGTAAAAAACTGTTTTGTACCACTTCTTTTTAATAACTTCTGCACGGTTTGGTTAGGAGAATGCATCACAATGCAAAAGAACATATGCTCCTAAATGATACTACACTTTTAAGTTTTATAATATCATTCACTAGTTTTGTGGATCTTCTAAACAAAACGTTGAGACACATTCAACTGGAAGGTAGTAATTTACCTTTCCCCTACTAAGATATGCAACGCAAGAGGGATTATTATGCCACTTAAGGAACTTGTATGTTACTATATGACTTGAGTCATACTTTACTCTTGCCCTTAATCCCAAAGGCATCAGAAAAGCAGGTGAAAGTTGACAGAGAAGAAACATTTTTGCAACTGCCTTGCATAAAGCAAGATTAGGATAGGTACCATGACACTTTGTACAAGATACATGTGTTCTGGCTCTCCAAACAAGCATCTCCTTGATTTACTTAAGAAAATGGTTTTCTAATCTTTATTTTATATGATTTTATTCCTATATTAGGGCTTACAATACCTACACCATCCTTCATGATACTCCTCAAACAGGATGTCAAAGTCCAGAAATTTTTAAAGGGGAAATTCACCTTTCCCTGCACTCAGGCAATGTTATTAAGTACTGGCAGAGAATCTACATAGAGGAAAGAATTCCACCCACAAAAAAAAAAGACGAATTTATAGGCTGGAATAGAGGTCACAACTCCTCCACACCCCTTCCTCATTTACTCAGCCATGAGATCCATAGTTCCAGCCCATTGCCCCTTCTAGAGAGACCTGTTCAGGACCAGCAAGAAGCTCCCAGCACATCCACTCTGCCTGCCCAAACACACACACACCCAGTGTAATAGCCCCACAGGATTTAAATGGTGCAACACACCTTGAAAGAATTTTTCCAGTATTGCACAAGGGCTTACTGTTGATTATTATTTATAGTTTAAAAACTCAGAGGCCCTACAAAAAATCTGGTAAAATGACCCCTGCCCCAAGTAATTTACAATCTAAATTAATGACAAGATGCAATAGGTGAATGAAACTGACAGACTGCAAGCAGGGCAAGGCAACAGTAATAAGAGTGTGCTTTCACGTAGCCTAATGGTGCACACAGTGTAACTCATAATTTGCCTAGCTTTTGACTGGTAACATTCTGTAAGCTACATGGCTGAAGTAAGTCTTATGGAAAAGTCTGGAGGACAGGTAGTGGATGAATGGATTTTTGGTAGAAGATTATATCAGGTAAAAGGGACATCATGGAAAAAAAGCATAAATACTTGTGGGATAATTGGCTGTATATGTGATAAAGACTGGAGATGATGGCACGATAAAATACTAGAACTACTAGATAGGGTCTAACTAAGTTGTAGTGGGCCTTAAAAGTACAGACAGGAGACATATATATTGGGTGCTCTGGAAAAGAGGAAGCCAGTAGAGGAATACTGAGGAGAAGGTGACATGACCAACGTGACAAGCAATGAAAATTATTTTAACAGAAGCATTTGGATTAGATTTGAGGAATGCAAGGTTGCATCAGTCAAGGGTGTGGAGAATGAGATTATAGCAATCAAGATACATTTTTAAGGGCCTGGAAGATCTTTGGCAGTCTGGAAAGAGAGCCAAATTAGGTCAGACAGTTTTAATTCAAACCACCTGTTTAATTAGTTGGAAGTTCTCTCCTCCCCAGACATGTGTACACTCTCCACACCATTCTAATTCATCTTGTAATAACAGCATTTGGGCTCCCCTCTAAAGTATATAACTGATCATTAGGAACAGTATTTTTAGGGTTACACCTGGCAAAACCCAATGCATCACACACAATGACACACTCCAAATGCAAGTCTCTTAAATTAAGGTTAAATCCCCACTTCTACATGTTCACTGACACCCATGAAAATAAATCTATTTGACACAGAGCTTCTTCTTACCACATTCAGAAGAAGTATAATATATTTAGATAAATATACAGTAATGTACAGTAATAAAACCTAGGACTGTAGTACCTGAATACCTCTCCAATCTCACCACTTCCAGGTCCTCAAACAAAATCAGCACAGCAATATTATGCCTAACAACTTGTCCAAGCAAACAAAAGTAGTAACTACAAAAATCCTATAAGACCCCAAACCCTTTAATTTTGAAACACAGGTTTGGCTCTTCACCTCAAATGGCTTTGGCATATTTTGCTGAATTAAAAAAATAGCCTGAGAAATACTGTCCTTACCTGTCATTCTGATAAACTGACCACTTCCTACAATAGCTGGAGCCCTTTCTTACTGTTTCTGTCATTGTGCAACATCATCATGAGCACTTTTCAGAACCTGCCCTATTAGTAGCTCTTCATGCATACTGTGTCAATTATTTTTTTAATATTGTGAAGCTTTTATGATAGTTTGTATGAAAGACACTTATCAAAATAAAATGGAATTATTGCTCAATCATTGCTAAATTCTTACTTAAAGCTGCTATTTACACCTACTACAGTATATCTTGCCTCAAACCATTTCATCTTCTAGATCTAACATCCTGATTTGTTTATGTTTGTGCAACATTTGAAGTTAAGTGCTGTGTAGATGCTAAGCATGCCATATGCCTGTAATACATATTCAATTACTCAGTCCAGCAAGAGTGACGGCAAAGGGCAGGTTGAATTTAATATGCATTCCTAGCATATCACACACCTTCCCCTGTATTTCCCCAACAGGAAAAACTTCATAACACAACTCACTCTTCAACTACACAGATTAGCTAACACAATGACATATAAAAACAAGTATACCAAAATTTCAACCTCATATGCTACAGAACTAGGGTTGCCAACCCTCCAGGATTGTTCTGGAGTCTACAGGAATTAAAGATTAATCTTTAATTAAAAATAAAGTCATGAGATGAAACCTCCAGAAATTCATCCAACCAAAGTTGGTAACCCTATACAGAACCTGAACTCCCTCTCCCTGAATTTCTTATTGATGGAACATACTTCACTATTATAACATACAGCATAGAACAGAGCTACATTATTCACAGTCCAAGCTCCGTTCTGTGCAACAGGGCCCATAATTTGTTAAGGATGAATATAATTTACCTTAACAACAAGGAGTCTGGTGGCACCTTAAAGACTAACAGATTTATTTGGGCATAAGCTTTCACGGGTAAAAACCACACTTCTTCAGATAATTTACCTTAACTCTCGAAGTTGTATGTCTGTGAATAATTCTCTCTCCAGCAGCACGTATCGGACTGAGGGAGAGTGAATGGTGAGGGAGAAAGCCAGCTTTGTCTGCCGCACAGAAGGGGTTTTCTTGGCAGAACATGTCATGCACAGGGGGGAGGAGATCACCCTCTGGCATTAAAGACAAATAAACCGCAGCATTCTCCTGGCCTGGCCTAGGGGTGGTGGGAGACTAGCAGGGCTCACCACATCATACTTCTGCCCTTCTCCTCTCTCTCCTACCCCAAACATCACTTCCTCTTCATAGAATCATAGAATATCAGGGTTGGAAGGGACCTCAGGAGGTCATCTAGTCCAACCCCCTGCTCAAAGCAGGACCAATTCCCAACTAAATCATCCCAGCCAGGGCTTTGTCAAGCCAGGCCTTATAAACCTCCAAGGAAGGAGATTCCACCACCTCCCTAGGTAACGCATTCCAGTGCTTCACCATCCTCCTAGTGAAATAGTGTTTCCTAATATCCAACCTAGACCTCCCCCACTGCAACTTGAGACCATTGCTCCTCATTCTGTCATTTGCCACCGAGAACCCCTTCTCAGTCCCTCAACCACCCCATCTACCCCTCCCGCACCCCCTTCTCTTCTCCATAAAAGCCACAACTACCCCTCCCCCCCACTTATCCATCTTTTTCACCCCTCTGATCACCCCCTCCCCCTGCCTACCCTCAGCCCCCTACAGCACCCCGCCCCCATTCCCGTCCTGCCTCCTCACCCTCCCCCACCCCCCCACTCCGTGAACCGGCGCTGCCAGCCTGGGCCGCCCCCTACCTGTGCTTGGCAGCCGCTCTCCGGCGCTTCTTGAGCAGGCACAGCAGGACGCAGGCGGCCGCGCCGGCCACCACGGAATGACGCGCGGTCAGGTACTTGCTATAGGCGGCCATGGCGCTAGCGCGGCGGCCGGAGGATGGGGCCGAACCGAGCCCAGGCAGGGAGGCTGACGCAGGGAATGCCGGGAGCGGACGGAGGGGGCGGGGTGGGGTGTTCTGCCCCGCCCCCTCAGGCCGGCTTCGGTACGGCGGCCTCAGCTCCTCCTGTCACTCCGGCAGGCTCCGAGGGAAAGGCGGTGTGGGGCGGGCCTAGGCTGTCAGACTCTGCTAATGCCGTTATGGGGGCCGGCCTGCCCCGGGGGCCTCTGCCTGTGCCCTAGGCTGAGTGCTCCACGGCTCAGTCCCCTTGGCCCCTGGCCGCTCCCCTGTAAGGCAGAGAGACGTGTCACCTGTGGCGAGGGTGCGGCTGTTTGCAGGAGATCCGGGGGAAGCGGGAAGTGTGAGTGAGGGGGTTCCAGTGCCACCTTCCTGGGCGAGTCCCTTCACCGTCCCGAGGCTCCGCTTCTACAGCTCCCCGACTCCCTTCGCTTCCCCAAGCCTCTGCTCCTTCACCTCCTGAGTCCCTGCACCTCTGCTGCTGCACCTACCCAATCCCTGCACCTCCCCGAATCCCTTCGCTTCCCCAAGCCTTTGCTCCTTCACCTCCCGAGTCCCTGCACCTCTGCTGCTGCACCTACCCAATCCCTGCACCTCCCTGAGCCTCTGCTTCTGCACCTTATCTCTGAGAAACTGAGGTTTGTCTACACTGCGACGTTGTCGACAAAACTTTTGTCTTTCGCGGGTACTTTAAAAAGCCCCCCCCCCCCCCCCCCCGAAAGACAAAAGTTTTGCCGACACAAGCGGCAGGAGTGCTCTTCTGCCGACAAAGCTTATGCCGCTCATAGGGCTGGAAGTATTTTGTTGGAAAAAGTGTCGACACAGCCTTGTCGCTAAAAGCTGCATAGTGTAGACAAGCCCATTCAGTGGATGCATTCATAAAGACACAGTAGTAGTGAGAGCCTGAAACAGCACAGATGGGCCAGTTTTTCATCCCTGCATTCATACCCTGCACACTATTGTAATAATCTTTGTACAAACTATACCTTGTGAGGTATCATTTGAAAATTAATAGCTTGCTGGTCAATATTATCATGGTGACATATGTGCAGCTACATTATATGAACATAAACTGAAATTATGACTGATGTGTTTCCCAGACAAGTCAAAGACAAAGGACAAGCTAAGGCCTCTAGCCAGATATCATCAAAGTTGATTGACAATCACCTGTCAAGTGGCCATTCTTTGGCAAGGAAGGAGGGCAGGAACAGATGAATCTGCATTTTAGCAAGCAACAGCATGGAACCTCTTTCACCATGAGACTGTGGGATGGAACTCTATCTAGGGGAAACCCTCAGGAAAACAGGGCTTTGGAGCTATGCTCCGCTCCAGCTCCAAAAGCCCTGTTTGCTCCGGCTCCGCTCCAGCTCCAGGCAAAAACCTGCAGCTTCACTGCTCCGGAGCTGCTCCACGCTCCAGCTCCGGGCTCCGTTCCAAAGCCCTGCAGGAAAATGCTTTTCAAAGGGTGACTGGACTACAAAACGGAGGGGCAAAAACACCCCAGCGTCTCTCTTTCTCTTGCTCCCTTTCACCTAAGAAGACAAAGGAACCAGCCCAGCCGTTTGACTTTGGGGGAGTTCCTGATCTGAGAATTTGGTTAGCACTGTTGCTGGGAACCTGTAATAAGGATTTTACCTTGAACCAAGTCTAGTTTGGTAAGTTTTAGCTAATATAAAGTATTTTAACTTTATTTCTCTTGTAACCATTTCTGATTTTAATACCTTATTCTTGTACTCACTGAAAAATCTGTTTTTGTAGTTAAACAAACTTGTTTTATTTTTTAATCAAAACTAATCCAGTGTTGTGTTGTATATTGACCCCTTATGGGAGCAACTTCTAATATCTGAACAGTCTAGGAGAGGGCTGGACAGTGCAGAGCACATGCTTTTGGGGAAAATTCAGCACTGGGCATGTGTGGAGGTCATCCTACAGGTAGTAACCAAGGCTGCTGGAAGCCAGAATGTGGCTGGTATGTTGCTGACACTGGAGTCTGCATTGCTGGACCAGAGCTGTAGCTATACCTCGATACTCAGGGTGTGACCTGCATGCTGTTTATGAGTAGCCCAGTTTGGGTGCCACAACAGCAAAGCACTGTGAGGCACCCAACATTGCAGGGAAGGTGGTGATGCAACCCCTCACTGGTCTAGATTGCACCCCAGCATGTGACAGGCCAACTCCTATTTAGACACCTAAATAACTGCTGAAAAATTGGCACCTATCTGGGAACTGTACTCTTTGAAACACGCCTCTGTATTTTCAGACAGCAGGGAGGGACTGTGGTGCCTTAGGTACAAAAACAAGTGTGTGTAATCTGAGTTAATATCTGCTCGTGTAGCTTCCAGATTGCTTGTCTATCTTCTTTCTCTTTTTGCCCTTAGAACGTGTGGTATTTAAACTGCATTCACCACTGTGGTGTTTGACCACCTTATTTTAAAAGATTTTTTCGGGACTTTGGAGCTGTGCTCTGGCTCTGCTCCAGCTCCAGGCAAAAACCTGCAGCTCCACTGCTATGACTTTGCTTTGTCCAGTTGTTCCATTGTTCCAGATATATCAAGGTTAACACCTTGGAGTCTCTTGCTTACAACATTTATTTCAAACAGTATGTCATGCCACAACACTAAGCCATACAGAAATTTGAAGTTATGTATGTTTCTGGTGATTCCATTTCCCTCTGCCACTGTTCTCCCACGAACAGTTCCTGTCATAGCATTATCCTCCATAATGACATCTATGGCATCATCTATCTTCCCAATTTGGTGTTTGATAGGCTTTATCGCCTTCACTCGACTTTCCCATCATGTGGCACTCAGTGGTTTGTGTCAGAGAGGATGTTCCCAGATGTTGCTTCAAAATTTGCCATCAATGAGTTGATGCAGAGAAAAATACATAGATGCTTTGAATTACATTAAAAAATTCAGCAGCCTCACTAGAAGCTGATGCTGCATCACTGACCACCAAGTTCAATGAATGAGAACTGCATGGGACAAAAAAAGCTCGAGGGTTTAACTCTCGGATCCGTGTCTGCACTCCTCTGTTCTTTCCTCTCATGTTGGCACCATTATCGTAGCCCTGACCTCTCATGTCAGCTATCGCAATTCCCGTATCTTCCAGCTTTTTAAGAAGCACTTTTGTCATACCAGCTCCTGTAGTATCATCAATATCAATAAATTCTAGAAAATGCTCTCTGACAGTCACTATTGCAGGGACATTTTCACTAGGTTCTGCTGTTGTTACAAAACGCACCATTAAAGTCATTTGTTCCGTATGGCTGATGTCAACTGTGCAGTCCAGAATAACAGAGGAATATCTTGCTGACTTTAGATCTGCCACAATTTTCTGTTTAACTTTTGTTGCCAGTAACTGTATGATCTCATTTTGAATTGTTTTTCCAAGGTAGTGGTGTGTGTACATTTCTTGGGTGGTGACTCTTCTTAGATGCTCCTGGAGTACAGCATCAAACTCAGCCATCAGCTCCACAATTTTAAGGAAGTTTCCATTGTTTGGCACATACAGCTGATCTGAAGTGCCACGCAGTGCTAGGTTTTGGGTAGCAAGCATTCTCACAATGGCAATGAGCCTTTTCAGAACATTTTGCCAGTAAAGAGACTCTGATGCAATCTTCTCTTGATGCTGATCATCTATGATGGCTTTTAACCTTAGTTTCATCTCAAGCTCTTTCCACCTATGGAATGCTGGTGATTTGCTGCCTTCTCATGGCATGCCAGATTTCTAGCCAGATTTTTCCAGTCTTTTGTTCCAGAACCCAATGTGGCTGTAACATTAGACTGGAAGAGTTTGCAACAAAAACAGTATGCAGCATTCTGGGGTTTTGAGTACATAAGCCATGGCCTCTCCACTTTGTCACCATTGGGGATTTCATGCCAGTAATGTGTTGGATGGAAACTTCTATTTTCATTGTCTTTGGGGAACATGAAGTTTTTCACTTGCTGTGGCCCATGCAGTACAAGGAAGCCCCTCAGGCTACTGGTCAAATGGGTCCACAGTCCTGGATCATCTAGACTTAATGAACTAAACTCAGCAGCAGCTGTTTCTTGCGCCTCCACCACACTCTTCTCTGATCTATACTTTTCTTCATGAATGTGCATGGTTTCATCCATTTGAGATGGAGATATGGATGCTGCTGTAGCTGCCAGGTCACCTGCACTCTGACTAACTGGAAGATCAGGCATCTCCTCACCACTCACATCCTCACTGGGACCTCACTGTGAACATTTGTGGCTATATATCTCAGGAGAGCTCCTTCCTGCTTAGGTAGAAAAGCTTCCTTTGCTTGCTTTCTTTTTCTGAATGCTGCCCCAGAGGGGCGTTTTCTTCTTTTACTCATGACTGCTGTTCTGTGCCAGCTATAGTGGCTCTCAACACTCAATTGAAGGGAACAAATAAGCAGGCTGGTAGCAGGGCCTGAGTGAAGGAAGATATCAGCGTCTTAAGGGCCTAACTGCTCCTACTACTTCAGTTGACTGCCTGTTCTCCTCAAGTGGGTTCAGGGAAGCAGCAGGAAACAAGAAGCTCCCTGAGAAGCTGGTGTTAATCAGTCCAGGCTCCTGGGGGTGCTAGAGAGGTACATAAGAGGCTCCTCCTCCTCTCTATCCCTGCAGCTCCTGCTACTTTCTGTTATCCCCTCTCACCTTTTCTCCTGCCTGCCTGTTATGTCTCTTGTGCCCTCCTTCCTCCAGCACAGCACTCCACCATCTCTGTGATCTAGAGCAGAAAGAATACATATGTACCAGCAGCAGACACAATTTTCTACACTCTGGGTCCTAGTGGCACCCCCCCACAGTCTGACACCTGAGGCAGTCGCCTCAGTTCACCTCATGGTAAGGCCAGCCCTGCTCAAACCCTTAGCCCAGGGGTGGGCAAACTATGGCCTGCAGGCCGGATCCGGCCCACCGCTGTTTTAATCCAGCCCTCGAACTCCTACTATGGAATGGGGTCTGGGACTTGCCCCGCTCTGGCGCTCCAGCCGGGGGGCAGGGTCAGGGGGCCGTT